AATGACAATTAGGGTTAAGTGTTCTTACTTAACCCATTAAGGACTTAATCCATTAAGTCCATCACTCCACTAGGCCATTCATATAATGTAGTTGGACATAAATCAAAATTCCAGTCTAACAGTCCAAACGCGGGTCCCGACAAATCCCAAACTAAAGTTCCCAAAATTAGGATTTCCAACCCAATCATAATCCGACTAAGTCTAGATTAAGCTATTGGACCGATTAGGGTTTCACTGTGTCGAGCACCACCCACTACCACCTCGGGCGGTGGTGGTTGACGGCGGCTCACGGCGGCAGTCACCACCTCACGGTGGTGGTGGTTTTCCTTGACTTTTCTTTGACCAAATCACCCAATCAAGAACCCAACATAAAGGAAACGTACTCACATACACTAAACGATACACATACAACCACCCACGCGGTGGCAGCGGCAGCAAGCGGTGGCAGCCACCACCTCATGGTGGTGGCAGTGGGTTTCTGGCCAAATGACACACATATAATACTTATGAATGCAACAGTCGACATGTACATTCGAAAATACAAACATACAGCCACCGCCTAGGTGGCAGGCATCGCCAGAAGAACGCAAACAATGGCCTCACGACCACCGATGACGGCAGCGACGAATCCGACGTCACACCCACTAAAAAGAACGAGAGAGAGAGAGAGAGAGAGAGAGAGAGAAAAGATATGGGTTGCAACTAACTTACCGAGTGACTCCGGTCGTTTCTAACTCAAACAGCGACGTTTACAGCCTCCTTCGTGGGTCTCGGTGGATCTTCCGGCTTCCCTTACGTCTCCGACAACAGCGATGAGGTGGCGCTCATCGGTGAGGCAGCAGGCGACGGCCTTGTCTGGTAGAAAGAACAAGAAGAAGAGAGGTGACGGCTGAAGAGGCTCACATGGCGACTGATGAAGATTAGGTTTTGGGTTCCAATATTCCAAACGAGAGGGAAAAAGAGATACGGGGTTAAACCCGTGTCTTTTTTCAAGTTTGTCCATATTTCCGAAATCAGCCCCTCCTCACAAAATATTTTCAGTTTAAATCCAAAATTTTACCCTTTTAGCCCCTGCCTCCATAATTCCTTTCATATTAAGTCCAAAAAAAATTACCAATCAGCCCCCAACTTTAATAATCCATTACAATTTAAAGTCCGACAGTTACCATTTAACCCTCAATAATAATTCTAGGGTTCATTATTTATTTAAAAAAACAGGATGTTACAAGTTGTCTCATTTCTCCCCTCTGTTCTGCTAACAAAGCCCTAATCATCGCCATTGTGACAGGTTCAACTACTGGTACTGCTTCAGGTGTACGCTCGATTATATAGGGCTCAGGCTGCTTGTTAGATGCATTTTATATGCATCTATTAGCATGTTTTGGTCACTATTTTCTTATAAAATGCCAACTATTTCCCTTGTTTTGTTATAGATTGTGTGTTCTCTCATTATGTTTTACAGAATGCCCATACTACTCACTTTTGTTATGATTTTCAGAGCAAATTAGCAAGGATTGAGAATACGACACATTGAGGATGCATTTGATGGAGCTTTGGAGCTAAGTTGGAGCTTGGAACTAGTGGAGGATGTTGAGGAATGCTTGGAAGCTACTTTAATCAAGAAAAAATCGACGTTTCAGACAAAATTCAAGAAATTCGATCGAATTATCAAGAAATTCGATCGAATTAAGGTTTCGAGGATTTATTAGTTCATTTTCAGTCGAAGAAAAAGGAAAGAAGAAAAATTCGGTCGAATTTCCCAATAAATTCGATCGAATTAGGTCTTTGAAGTCAGAAATTCGAGAAAATCAAAAAACATGAAATTCGATAAAAAATCCGATCATGGCAAAAAAATTTGATCGTGCCAATATAAATTTGATCGAATTTATAACATGAATTTTTCAGGACGTATAAATAAGCCTCCTTAACATTCCTACAACCCTAACTTTCGACCATTCGTGATATCAGACGACTGAGAGGCGATTTTCAGAGGTTTTCGAGTGCCAAATACAGATCTGAAGATCACGATTCGAGTATTATTTTCATTTAGTAAGATTAATCAAATAGATTTCGTTTTTACTTCTTGTAATTCGTTTTTAGTTATGTCATGCTAAAAACCTTAGATTTCAGTTTCGCAAACGACTTGACTTTTTCTGCAAGTAATCATTAGGTACGATTTTTTACTGTGTTTACTGTTTAGTTTGATCATTTTTATGCTTAATTGGATGTTTGATTTTGATTCAGTTTTTGTTGGCCACTTTAATTGTTAATAAATTATTCTTGTTATCTAATTTGTTTAGTTTCGTAATTGTCTTTATTAATCAGTAAAAGTAACAAAGATTAGATTAATTCTGTGTTAGCGTTAACTCTAATATAAACTGATCAAACAAGTCTTTACGCTTCCGATATTGTGAGAAGTATTGGACTTTACTGGGAAATTTACATTGTGCTTAATGTTACTTTTCTAAATTAATTAAGAGATTATTTGGTTAATTCAGTAAAAAGTAAAGTTTAATTCAAAGAGCTTGTTTTGGTTAGACATTTTAGTAAAAGAAAATTGTTAGAGCTTATTAATGATTTTTAGTACCAGTTTAAACAGTACACGGTTCATGTATCGTGTTTAAGGTTATTTGTATGATTAGGAGAGTCACCGTGAAACTGAAATTGCTTTTAGCTTCTGAATTTTACTATAGTGTTTAAATTGAGTTTTTCTTTTATAAATTTCTATCAAAATTAGTTTAAATCAGTCAACAATTACCCCCATTTTAATTTCTGCTAATTTAGTGAGTGCCTTACGCAAGAGAGGCATAGACCTTAGGACGTGTCCCAGTGGATTCGACCCTGCTTTCCTGTACAACCCCTTAGTGCATTAGAGCAATATTTTTATTTATATTATTTGTTTGTTAGGCGTTGCGACATGCTGTTAACACTGCTAATTCCCGTTACCGTTTCCTAATCCGCTATGAGTTCTCACAATGACGTTTTGGACACCAAAACGACGTTTAGCGTACCGAGACGAGAATATAGATAGAGAAAGTTTCGATGTATTACTCTTTTTATCACTCTGAAAAGTTATATGCCAATTCTAATACCGTAATTAAATGTTTAGAAACCTGAACACATAACATTTCCTAATTCTAGGTCGGTAACAGGCCTTAAACCTAATAATAGTAATTAGATACGCAACCTAAGGCATGCTATAATACATACCATTTAGCACATAAGACCAAATTAGGCATCTTATCCTAAAGTGAGCTAGTGCTAGTGTCAATTCAAGCGTAGTACCTAAATTACAATAGACACTCATATTACGATCATCGCTTAACATTCAAAGTTTAGGTATAGAAATCCTCTAAATTCCTAGTTCGCTTAAACTAATGCTCTGATACCAACTATGAAATCTCCATTTTTACGACCATTTTAAAACTTTTTGTCTATGCTTATTTAAGACTTTTGTTATTGCGGAATTGGTCCCAAAGTGTCCTTGACATGATATAATATCAAAATCAGGGCATTTCAAAAGATTTTATATTTTTAAAAGTCTGGGATATCATAACTGATACAAGAAACATAAGCATAAACGGAGACTTACAATGTCTCAATATACTAATGGTCTACATCTCCTTGAATCTCTTAGAAAATACATACATCATTATCAAAGTATATTTATTTAATAACATGTGATTCAAATAAACTGAGTGAGCCAAGTTGGGAAATCTGGTGAGTACTATAACACCCGGATCCCGAGGTACTTCATACTTTCAATTTTTGGCATTTTAGGGTTTTCCATGACGTGGGGGAGTCACAACGACGTGGAAAATCAAGATAAGATTGCAGGTTCATTTAAGCTATCACGACGTGGCAACAGGTAATTGACAAACCCTATTTTCCAGGTTTTGCTCCCTATTTAAAGGAATGGGGAGGCTAAGGTTTGCTCACCCTCAGCCTCCATCGGCTTCATTGAGACCTGAGAAACCCTAATTCCCTTCCTCATTTATTTAAGCCCTTTTGGTGTACTTTGAAGCCATTGAAGGAAGAAAGAAGAATAAGTGAGCTAAGATTCAACAAGCAAATCCTCATCCTTTGTTGTAGCACTCCTGTAGACCTTTGTAAGTGTCCAAGACTAAATTTTAATCATGATAGGTTGCTAGATCTTGAGTTTTGTCCCTAAATATTCATGTTCTTGTTGGTTGTAGTGGTGAGATCTCATAAAGTTTGCAACTTTAAGAATCTCTAGGCCATTGAGGGTATTTGGTGCTTTGGATTTGGACTAGTAATGAGTTTTGGTATCATGCATGGATTTTTGGCCATAAACCCTCTTTTTGATCTAATGGGATGTAACACCCCGCTTATTAAATAAATAAATAGATAAAATTAATATGAATTGTAGCACTAAAATTCATAATAGTTAGCGGGGTGTTGGTTTCGGGGAACCAAATGATATAAATTGGGTTTTCGGGGGTTAAAGTGTAATTTCGGGATTTATTTTGTAAATATTTTTAGAAGTCAGGGGGTGTTTGGTAAGTATTGGACTTAATATGAAAGGATTTATGGAAGCAGGGGCTAAAGAGTGAATTCTGGACCTAAGTTGAAAAAGATTTGTAGGGGGAGGGGCTGCTTGGTAAAATTTCGGACTTGATTTGTAAGGGATTTCAGAAGGCAGGGTTTAAATGGTAAATATTGGAGCTAATTTGAAAAGACTCTTAAGGGAGGGCTGGAAGTGTAAAAATGAAACAAGAATTGAAAGTTATGGGCATAACCCGCCACCCTCTCATGCAACCTCCATATATATATATATATATATATATATATATATATATATATATATATATATATATATGTCCAAACCCTAACCATAACCCTAGGAACCATATCAGCCGCCACTTCCACCTCCACCTTTATGCCTCCCACCACCGGCCGCCACCCTACTCTCTTGCTTCTCCGACCACCGAGCCACCGTTGTGCCATTCCGATGAAGACAAAAGCCACCGTTAAACGTCATGGCAGCGGGAGATCAGAAGGAACTCACCCGGGGCGTCGCTGTTGCTACTTCCGGTGGAAACGCCACCCTATTCGTGTATTCTTCTGTTCCGCCACCATCCATCTTCGCTTGTTCCGTTAGCCGCCGTAAGCACCGCTGTAGCGCTGCTGTTTCGCCGCTGCTATCCTCCGATCCGTTGCTGCCGTCGCAGGCCTCAACCACCACTTCCGCTAACTTCAACGTTGTCAGTCGCCAAGTCGGTGGCTGAGGGCTGCTGTTTCGCGTCGTGTCTCACATGTGTTGATGTGTTGCTGGGCAGAAGATCAAGAGAAACCGTCGCCACCACTGTGAGGTGGTGGCTGTCATTGCAAATCACTGCATGTCGCCATTTCTACTACCTTCTGCTGTCGTTGTCGTATCTTGACACCACCAGCCGCCGTGGGAGGTGGCTGTGAGTTTGTGTCTGGGTGTGTATTCGAGTAGACATGTTGTTTTCGGTTTTCATAAGATTGTAGGTGTGATGGTTTGGCCGGAAAACCCACCACCACCACCGTGAGGTGGTGGCTGCCACCATCTGCCACCGCCGACCACCACAAGGGTGGCTGTGTGTGTTTATCTTAGTGTGTGGGTGTGTTTATTTGGGTTTTTGCATTGTAAAATTGTAATCGGTAACATAATAATAAAAGAAAACTCATAACCACCACCGTGAGGTGGTGGCTGCCGTATCCTGCGGCCATCAGCCGCCGTGTTGGGTGGCGGTGTGCTTTTTCTTGTGTTTAGTTGCTTTTGGGATGCTTGGACAAAAATGGACTAGAACCATAACCACCACCGTGAGCCGCCATTGACCACCACTACCCGAGGTGGTAGTGGGTGGTGCCCGACTTATGAAACCCTAGTGGGCCTAATGAAACCCTAATTGATCTAAGACTTAGCTTTTGGGCCTAACTGGGTTGGGATTGGGTTGGAAACCCTAATTAGGGTTTAGAAAACCCTAATTTTGGAATTATTGGTTTGGACTTATCGGGACCCGCATTTTGGGTCATTGGAATGGAATTGTGAATTACACCCAATCACACCATATGATTTATCTAGTAGAGTGATGAACTAAATGGATTAAGTCCTTAATGGGTTAAGTAAGAAACACTTAACCCTAATCGTCATTTTATGTAAAAACCCTAATCTTGCTTGGGCCTTAAGTTGGGCCTTTCTATTGGGCTTTGGTGATTGGGCTATCGATGGGCCATCCAAGAACAATCATATAGACTAAGAATATATGGATGGGCTTTAGGGTATGGCCCATGTGAGGGTTCGGGTCCAATTTGGAAAATTGGGCCATAGATGGGCCATAACTAGGCCTTGAGGATTATGAGAGGTTGGACCATTGGAATGCAAAATGTTTGGACTGGACTAAATGGTCGGGCCTTAGGGTAAGACCATGTAGAGGTTTGGGCCCAATTTGGAAAATTGGGCCATCTGTTAGGCTTTGATTCATAGTTTGAATTTTGGGCCTTTGGATTGGGCCTTGAGTTGGAATCAAGCTAAGGTGGGGGTAAAGTAGTCTTTTACCCCAAGCATGGATTTATGGTTATGTGTTGGAACCCAATTATTAATTGGGTGTTATTTTGATGTTGACAATTCGGAAACCTGTCATCCAGCAGCCAGAGCTTTGTCTGCGGGACTTTAGCAGTGCGAGGTGAGTTACCTTCCAGTAGAGGTGGGTGTAAGGCACCAATGTCGGCCCACCAGTAGGTGATTATGTTTGAGATGATTGTCTTTGTGATAATTATCTGTTTTGCCACTATTTGATATGCTTTATGTGCTAGGATGCTATTTTATATATATATATATATATATATATTATATATATATATATATATATATATATATATGTGTGTGTGTGTGTGTGTTAGTAGTAGTAGGGGTGAAATAGTCCCCGGGTACCGGTTGAAAGATACCGAAAGGGTAGACAGTACCTATGCAGATATGCCTGACAGGGGTAGGTTGGGCACCCAGATATGCCTGACAGGGGTAGGTTGGGCACCCCGGTATGCCTAACAGGGGTAGGTTGAGCACCCCGCTCAGCAAGGTAGGTCGGGCACCCAGATATGCCTGACAGGGGTAGGTTGGGCACCCCGATATGCCTGACAGTATGTTATTGTATGGTGTGTGGTATGATGGGGGAACTCACTAAGCTTCGTGCTTACGATTTACAGTTTTGGTTTCAGGTACTTCATTTTCAAAGGAAATGAGCCGGCTCAATCGCAGTGCATCACACTATGTTTTCCGCACATGAGATCTTTGGGATTATACTATGATATTATTTTACGATAACATGTTTTGATTATTGACACTTTGGTTTTGACATGAAACGTTATTATGGATTTTTTTCTTATATTGTTGGTTTTATAATAACTTAATTAAAATGAATTTTTTGGTCTTGAATTTTGGGATGTTACATGGGAGTTAAAGACATGGATTGGACATGCATGTCTGGAAAGCATGGATTTTATGTTATTTATGATGCTAGAAACCTTTATGCAAGTGTTGGACTAGAGGTCTTCAAGAATAAGTGCTTATTGGTTTAAGCCAAATTGTGTTTTGCCCCCTTTTGGACCTAGGAGTGAGATCTCTATCTCTTGGAGAGTCTAAAGGGATAAAGTTGGAAACTTTATCCACTTGGACCATATAATGGGACAGATATGAGCTTTGGAACCCTTAGAATCGAAGAAAATAACTTAACCCATTAAGTTGTTAGGAGCCCAGTGCCCACGACGACGACGTGGCCTTAGGTCACCATGGCATGGCGACTAGGCTAAGGCTCGTCTATTTTGTCGATTAGCGGCCATGGAATGGCCAAGGATGGCCACGACATGCTGACCAACTGAAGGTTGACTTTTGACCATTGACTTTGACCAAGTTTGACTTAAGGGTATTTTGGGTAATTGTATAGTAGTTTAAGTTTGGGTCGAAGGAACTAATGCCGACCTACTAGGTTATGTATCCTAGTATATAGGATGTTGCTATGTTGTAGTGATTTGTTAGATTTGTATGATTATTAGTGTTGTTATATGATTTATTTGTTGCATTGTAACGCTCTGTTCCGAATTGACTTCTAGTTTGAGGCTGTGGGCCGAAGGTTGGCCATCATGAGGAGTATGGCTCTATAAAAGGTAAGATCTAGGCCATTTGGGTGCGGGTGATGTATTAGAAGTGATTCGGGTGTTCGGTTTGTGTTTTGGAGCTTAGGGGTATTTCAGTAAAGTGTCAGTTCGGGCTTTTGTGGAAAATGGATTTTTGTTCGGAAGGTCTAAAGGAAAATATGAGTTGATAGATGTGTAGAGCTTATCGTCACCTTTCCGTGGATATAAGGATCGTCGAAATCGGGCTTGTAACAAAGAATTTATGGCCTTCGGAAGTTTCGTGGTTTTCAGGCTTAGCCGAGTACATGGGGAGTACACAAAGCGTACGCGGGGTGTACTAGTAAAGAAGGTAGTACGCTGGGCGTACCTTGGAGTACGATGGGCGTACTGACCAGGAGGATCGCGAATGTTCCCCAGAGTACGCTGGGCGTACCATATGTACGCTGGGCGTACTCCAGTCAGATCAGAACCCTATTTTAGGGTCTTGGACCCTATTTAAACTCCTTATCTCATAACCTAACCCTAATATCTTCAGCCTCCACCCCTCTAAACCCTAAAAATCGTCATATATCATCTATGGTGGCATTTTGAGCTTATGGAGTCCATTTTTGGGGTGTTTGGCCCATTTTCAAGAAAATGAAGTTTGATGCAAAGATGGGAATCAAGAAGGAGCTTATGGATATGGCTTTTAGGACTCATTCTCAGCTTGATGAAGGTATAAAGCTTTGAACTTGACCATTGAATGCTTAGATCTATTATGTTGAGTTTTTGGATCTTTTGGTCCCAAGAATGGAGCTTTATGGTTCCAAATCCGTTTTTAGGCTTGGGGTTGCCACCCTTGATGCTATTTGAGTCCCTAAGGCAGAAAGTTGCCATCTTGATGGTCTTAATGGGTTCATGCTTGAGTTAGGGTCACTTTTATGGAAGTAGAATGGCATTTTTGGAGTTTGGGTTTGTTCGGGGCATGCAAAGTCACCAAGTCAGTGACTTTATGGGTTTAGACGTTAAGTATAACTCAGATATGTGATTTGGACTTATTGGATCAAGTATTAAGCACTTAATGGATGTTATGCATGAGCTGTTTGTACGCTGGGCGTACTATGTAGTACACTACGCGTACAGTCCACTTGCTCGGTACGCTAAGCGTACAGAAGAGGTACGCTGGGCGTACGCTCTCAGGAGGACTTGGGCCTTTGTGGGCTTCAGACCTTTAGGCCCTAATGGTTTTGGGCTTGGATTTGCTGATAGTTGGACCTGAATGCATCTTTGGGCCAATAATGGAATAGTTGGGCCTATTGGGCCACAAGGCCCAATATAGAAATGAACTTCGCATTATGGGCCTCGGTTGGGCCAATTCTTGGACTAGGTTATTGTGGGCCTTCGTGGGCCATTTGGGTCAGGATTATTGACTAAGGAGAATATTGGGTTTTAGTATAAGGTCCACTAGAAAGGTTTGGGCCCAATTTGGAAAATTGGGTCATTGATGGTTTATGGACATTATAATGTTGGGCTTTTGTTTTGGGTTTGGGCCTTAGTTTTGGATCATATTGGAGCAGGGGTAAAATAGTCATTTTACCCCATGCATGGATTAAGGATTATGGTATGGGACCCAATTGCTAATTGGGTATATTGATTGGTAGTGGCAGCTCGGGAGGCTGGCGGGGCAGCAGCTAAGGAATTCTTCAGGAAGCTTCTGCATTCGAGGTGAGTCTTCTCACCATACCCATGGGTCTAAGGCACCAAGGCCGGACCATTATGTTATTAGGGTATATGTGTTAGTCATTCTGTGATTTGATATGCTATGTGATTGTATGTTATTGCATGGAAGACCCCGGGGGGAGCCCGTGGCATTGGATGTAAGACCATGTGGGGTAGCCCATGGCATTCCTAGGTAAAGACCATGTGGGGTAGCCCATGGCACAATGGTGTAAGACCCTGGGGGAGCCCACGGCATCCTTACAGGTTTATTTGTGTTATGTGTAGATATTTCTGTGATATATGATATGTTTATGTGATATGTGTTATGCTAGTTGTCTTTGTGATACTTGCATGGAAGACCCCGGGGGGAGCCCGTGGCACTGGATGTAAGACCATGTGGGGTAGCCCATGACATTCCTAGGTAAAGACCATGTGGGGTAGCCCATGGCACAATGGTGTAAGACCCTGGGGGGATCCCACAACATCCTTACAGGTTTTTGGTATGCATGGCTTATGTGTTATATGTAGCTTTTATAGCTAGTAGGAAATGTGATACATGTAGCTTTTATAGCTAACAAAATATGTGTTATGTGGATTGTGTGTGTGGGTATGCCCTGGGGGACTCACTAAGCTTTGTGCTTACCGTTTACAGTTTTGGTTTCAGGTTTCATCAATTTGGAAATGAAGGGCTCGGATTGATCGCAGTGCACACACCTATGATTTCCGCAATGATTGATTTTGGGATGAACTCTGATAAATGTTTTACTTAATGATGATTTGACATGTTTGAAATAAATGGTATCAATGTTTTAGCTGTAACAAAAATGAATTTTTTACCCCTGATTTTTGGGTCGTTACATGCATATGTCGACATAGTACGGTTTGGGTTGATGCTTTGCTGCTATGTGCGTAAGCCAACAGAATGGGGTATTCCAGTCCGATGACTGATTGGGTTAAGGCTATCTAGTCCGATGACTGTGGGCCAGGGGTAATCTAGTCCGATGACCGTGGACTAGCGGGTAATCCAGTCTGATGACTGTGGACCTAACATGCATGATTGTATATGTTCTGTTGTGGGGTATTTTGGGGGAACTCACTAAGTTGTGGCTTACAGTTTGATTTTATGGTTTCAGGTACCTCAGAGGACAGGAGAAAGGCGAAGGCCTGATCGTACACATCATCCTAGATTTTATGTGTTTTTATGATTTTGGGATATTCTGATTCATGATAGTGACTTTGAGAACTTGTTTTTGGAAAACTTATGGATCTTTGGAATGATTTTATAAATGAAAAAATTGCCTTGATTTTTGGGATGTTACAAGTACATTAGGTTTTAATCAACAATGATATAGTTAATATGTTTAATTATTAAACAATTAACCTGATTACCCACCCCGTTTTCTTATTTATTCTTCCCTAAGGGTCTATATCCTAAGGATCATCATAGTCATCGTTGCTGACAATACTGTTACACGAATTTCTTCGCAATACATGTCAGTAGGTTTTTTTCTATATTCATTCCTAAGGGTTTGTCTTAAGGAATAGACATGAAGTCCATCGCTTCCTGTGTTCCACGGGAATGTCAAATAGGCACGAAGTCCATCGTTGCCTGTGTCCATCAAACAGGCACGAAGTCCATCGTTGCCTGTGTCCATCAAATAGGCATGAAGTCCATCACCGCTTGAGTTCATCTAACTGGCATGAAGTCCATTGCTGTCACTGTTCCACGAGACAGTCATGAATAGTTCGGTGGTCTTCACCTATACTTTGCTAGGTGACTACATCATTGGTATACTAATACCAATCCTACATCATTGGCACACTAGTACCATTTTTACAGTTGTGGCATTCTATAATTTCCTACATCTTTCATTGGCACACTAGTCTAGATTCCTCACTAATCCCAATGAATACTGAGAGTTCTATCAAATAAGGATCAGTCAGACGGGACAATTGGGGGGCATGACCATTTCGGCGTCTGAAATCCAACAACCAAGCCAAAGTGACTATTCGAGACACTTATCTCGTAAGTAGATCAATCAATATAATGACTTGGAATTATTGATAAATCTTATTTATAGGTTCATAACAACAAATTATGACTATAAATACAAGTTACACTGAAAACAGAATAGTGTAGCTTAACTTACAGAGGTTTTAGCAAAAAAACGGGAAATTGCACTGGCAGGACTCCGACCTGATAGCTACTAGATGTCTGGCTCCTAGGGACCTTTGAGCTAGACTAAATACCCTAACTACTAAGAGAAATTCGATTTGATTTGCAGAAGATGTGGGAATGGATGAACACTTAGAGGCTATTTATAGACATTTCTGTTCACCTACGCGCAGCGCAAGGCATGACGTGCGTCACACACATCAACCTTGTTGGCTCTAAGGGTTGCTTGCCACGTGACTAGTTTCTAGAAGGTGATAGTGTCAAAAAATCATGGTGTCACGTGTCCAAATTTCATGGTGACACGTCGCCTTGTCTCAGAAGGAAGGGATCGTCCCAACCATGCCATGCGGCGCCCTCTCGTGGTGTCACGTCATCGCATCATGTATTTTCTGAAATCTTTGGATGCCCATAACTTTTGCGTACGAGCTCCGTTTTCGATGTTCTTTATATCCTCGGAATTCTCTCGACGAGCTCTACAACTTTCATTAAGGCTTCAATATCTAATTCTTGATCTAACAAAAAATTCATATTTAGACCGGTTTAGACTGTTAAAGTCCGTGCAAAATTTATATCTTCTGCATACGAACTCTGTTCTCAACTGTCTTTTTATCGACGGGTTCACATTTACGAGATCTTCAATTCTCATTTATATTCTTTCGGCTAACAATCAACCGATTAGAATTTCGATTTCTGCGCTCGCACTACTGCACTGAAACTTCGAAAAATCATAACTTCCTCTTACGAAGTCAGATTTGGACGTTCTCTATATGCACGCTCTAGGTTTAACAATAACTACGACTTTAATTTAGATCGCTTAGTCTAAAAGGTAATTTATCAAAAATTCACTGTTTACGATACGCAAAGTCATGTCGGTTTAATCGCGAAACTTCGAAAAAGCATAACTTCTTCATACGAAGTTGGATTTCAACGTTCTTTATATGCACAAAATCATTGTCACATATATTATGACTTTGGTTATCATAAATAATCTTCTATTAAAAGTCATTTTTTAACGTTTATTATCTCTAAATTGACTAGCCCGTTACAAAATCCGACCAAACTTATCTTTTTTTTTCCTACTTATTACGAACAATTGAATGATTTCAATTTATTTTGAATTTATATGCTTGTTATTGCTTTTCACCTAAAAAGATCATGCGGTGAGTAAGTACAACTGATAGTGGTGGACCGTGAGGAACGAATGTTATGGAATTGGTGGCATGGTGGTGGATAGTGGTGTTTTGGGAAGAAATTAATGGCCGAAGCTGAAGACATATTCTAGAGAAAGTGGAGTGGTGGTGGTGAAAAGTAGGTGTGTGTATGTTTATGTGTTCCTTTCTACAATCTTATTATCTCAATTTTGATTAGAAAATGACATTGAAAACTTATTACTCATATCATCTTCAATTGATTACATGACATATGATAGTGTTTATTCTAGGTTAAGATATACCAAATAAAGATGTCAAAACCTACCTTATACCCTGGAAAACTAGAAAAATAGTTTAGAGACTGTTTACCATAAGTAAAAAGTTTGATGGGCTATCCATTCAAATAAAATATTAAAACAAGCAAAATATACAAATCAAATTAAAATAAAATTGTAATATTTTTTGAAAATAACAAAATAATTTGAAAAAGATCCAAAATAATCAAAACTTCAGAAGCTATATTCTTGATGAAAGAGATTAATAATATTTTATTATACATATATTTCTTAAGTAACAATCTCAATCTAAGATATACATATCTTTATATTTAAAATGCAGAATACAAGAAAATCTAGTTTGCATTAGAGACAATTAATCATTGTGATTATCAAAAAACTATATAAATATAAATAAATTAACAGTTATCGTATCATTCAATTTCATTGTTACAGAAAAAAAAAACAAAACAAATCCGTACATAATGAAAATTAACTAAAAAAAAATATATTTATATCTTATAGAAATATGACATATTTAGAAAAAGTATTATATTTTGGTCATTTTTGTATTTTAATCATTATAAATCAAAATGCTAAATAAAAACTATTGATCACAATAAAAAGTCGTCAATCTTTAGTTTAGTTGTTTTAGTGAATTATTTTAATCCGTAACAACTTTTTGTAATTCAAACTAAAATCATTAAATTTTGACCATTTTTTTTTACAACTTTGGTTTGATAGGGGTGAAATCATAAAAATGAGAAAATTTTATAGTTTTTCAATATATTATCCTGAAATATTCTATTATATTATCCTATTTTGTAAAATATTATATCTATTGTATATCACAAATAAACAAAGTTGTTATATTTCGTTGTAATTTCCTTCGAGTTTCTTTGGACTATATAGCTATCGTTGCTTTCTCTTCACGTGACCGTCCATGAGTCCCAAACATAGCCCCCCAACACTTTAAATAGTTTTCGTTTCATATTCTTATCGTTCCAATTCCAACCATTGTTTCACACAACATCTACCCCTCTCCTAGGGTTTGAATCTGTCTAACAGAATTGCGCCATCGAAGGTAAACATCATAACCCTCAAAACCCTTTTTTCGCGTTTTTGGTTTAGTACCTTCTTTTTATTCCACTTCTTTTGATCACCTTCCACTAGGGTTAACAATCTTTATCAACGATCGCTCTCGGAAGAATCAGAAAGTAATTTTCTTGGTTTGCGAATAGAAACTTCGTTATTGTTTTTCGAAATTACCAAGAATTTTGCATTATCTTCTACCATTTAACAGTTTTATGTGTTATCGAATTTTGTATGGTGGAGTGAGGTTTCTTGTTGTCAAGAAAAGCTGAATTTATTGATTTGGAAACTCTGATCATTATTTTACGTTTTTTCATTGATCGGCGTTCATCACTTCAAAATCGTGTTCTTATTTTCCAGGATTAGTTGACGCTGAACAATGGGATTCAATTCAGTCTATAAGGCATTGCAGGATGTCTTTCCACAGGTATGCCTTTCGTTAATCACTCTCTCTCTCTCTCTCTCTCTCTCTCTCTCTCTCTTGGATATGGGTGTTTATTAAGTCAGTCGGTTTTTAGAACATATTATTTGATAACTAAGTATGAATGTTTACGTTTTATTATTGTTTATATATGATTCTGGATTCAGTGTCATATATTCACATTTAGAATGCATATCCGAACGAACCCTAAATTTTCTTGAGGACCCTTATAAATATCATAAAAATAATATTATGCGATGTACTACTTTTTTTGCAGGTTGATTCTCGTTTATTGAGAGCTGTTGCGATTGAGCACCCTAAGGATGCTGATTTAGCTGTAGAAGTTGTTCTTGTTGATATCATCCCTCACCTGTCTGAACAATCACAATCACCTCCAGTTAACTTTTCCAATAAAGTCGAGAATACACCCAGTCTCTTTGAAGGTAATAAGAATTCTTGAAAGATCCACCTGTGAAGGGTTTTGCTTCTTTTCAGCATTATAGTTTGTGTAAAGGATTTATTTTGAACTGTATTTATTTAATTTAGTTGTTGTAGATGGTGGCAAAACTGTTCAGCTTGAGGCAGCTATGGGTTCTGAACAATCATTTAAAGCTGGTTCTTCCAGTACTGATGCAAATGGTGAAGCTGCCAATGTTGGTAATGGTTTACCAATACTCTTGGAGAAAGGTGGAGACAAGAGTAATGTTGATGAAAGGGATCTTTATGATAATCGTGATGAAGAATCTTTTGGTATTTTTGGTAAAAATGTTGCACTTTTGGTTGAGACCTTTGAAAATGATTCTAAAGTTACTGGTTATATTCAAAAAGAAGCTGGATCTCGGTTTTCAAGCTCCCCTGAACCTCATTTAGCTGTCACTCAAGAACTTGATCCTGGTAGTTCCTCAAAAACCCCATCTGAAAACAATGATTTTGTAACTGAAGAAAATACAGAGGGTGAATCCATGATGAACTCTTCCCTTACAAGATCTGACCAAATTTGTAGCACTGAACTTCTTGAGGATATTCTTGAAGAAGCTAGGAATGAAAAGGTAACTTGATTAGTTTATTTGAGATGTTTTGCTGCATCATGATCTGAGTTTGTTTACTGTGCAGAAAACCCTGGTGTCAACAATGGATTCAGTTGTTGAACTTATGAGAGAAGTTGAAGAAAAAGAGAAAACTGCTGAAGAAGCTAAAGAGGAAGCCACCCGTGACTGCTCACATATATTTGCAAAGGTGGATGAACTAAAACAGGCACTTGGACGTGCAAAAGAAGCAAATGACATGGTTGGTTGTTACTTGTTACCTTTTTTATTCTTTTCTGTAATTCAGTCTCATAATTACTAGCATGTATATATATTTATAATTTTGTTTGTTTGCAGCATGCTGGAGAAGTCAATGCTGAGAAGGCCATTTTAGCTACTGAGTTGAAGGAGCTTCAGCTTCGCTTGTTGACTTTATCAGATGAGAGAAACTACTCGCTTAGAATCCTTAACGAGGTAGTATATTATAGTTTGATTCATTTTTATCATAAGAGGGTTTTAGATCACTGACTGTTTTCTTGTTTAGATGCGTGAGGCTCTAGAGATTCGGTTGTCTGTAGCTTTAAAAGAAATTGAGGCAGCAGAGGGACAAAAGCTGGAGAAAGAAAAGTTTGCTAGAGAAGCACTCGCATACCAAGAAAGTCAATTGGAAAAGGTGGTTGAAGAGTCCCAGAAGCTGCAGAGAGAAGCAGAGGAGAATTCCAAGGTAACATGAACTTTTGGTCTTAGTTTCTAAAAAAGAGTGTGTATTCATTGCACAGATTATGATAAGTTTCTCTCTTTGTTTTTTTTGTTTGTTTCTAGTTGCAAGAATTTCTCATGGACAGGGGTCGTGCAATTGATATCCTACAGTAAGGCTCTGTTTGTTTTTCATTTTCCAATTAAGTGCTGTCTACTCTGGACAAATGAGTTTCATGAATTTATTGGTTTTGCAGGGGAGAGATTTCTGTAAAATGCCAGGATGTGAGACTGCTGAAAGAGAAGTTTGACAAGAGAATCCCACTTTCTCGATCATTATCATCCAGCCAGACATCATCAGTTTTAGCAGCAGCCTCTCCATCTTCATCTTTCACCACCACAACCAGAGTAGTAGTAGCTGAACCGGAGGCTGAGATGTATGAAACCCCAAAGAAGAGGTTAGAGTTGGATGATCCTTATTCACCCAAGTCTCTTCCTTCTCCTCCTACACAAACTGTATTTCATTTTGGAGCAGCAGAGAAACAGACTAGTAGTAATGATGCTTGGAAGTTGCTTCTAAATGATGACGATTGGGAGCTGTTTGACAAAGGTGAATTGTCAACCGGTGCTGCATAGTCTTATTATACAATATGCTTTTTTTGTCCCCAAATAACCAACCACTTTTGTCTATCAACATTATCATCTATATACATATCGAACCGTAAATATTAATATCCTTCCTTTTTGTTTATAAGTTGCTTGCGATGGAATCTGAATAGTTTTTGGTTTGGGTATCTCTTTTTTGTTATATAGCACATTTTGCTGTTAACTTGCCTTTGTGAATATTTATTTTTCAATCAGGTTTTACCTTTATAATATGTGGTCAGCTAACCTTTAGGATTGTGTGTTTAAGACATTTTGTGTTCACGAGTCATCACCTGTTGCAGCCTATGGTAGGGGTGTAACCTGGTCAAACTAACTCATCAGATACTTGAAAACGACTCAGAAATACTCAAAATTGTCGGGGTATGATATTATCAAGTCAAAGTCCAAATATATGATTACTCGGCTCGTAAGGGCTTCTGAGATTGATCAGGTTTGGTTATAGTTACTTTTTTACCTTTTATTTTACCCAAGGTAACATAATCCAGCTGGGTCGATTCGAGGTTGTGTAGTTTAATTCATATATATATATATATATATATATATATATATATATATATATATATATATATATATATATATATATATATATATATATAACTGAGTCGAGTTGGAGCCCGAAAGTGTGTGATTAGTTTATCGGATAAGACTGAAATTAAAGCTCCAATTGAATTTTGAGCTCGGGTTTTTAGTTGAGTTGAGTTTTGAGTTTGGTAGTACTCGATTTGGCTCGATTATAGTAAAAAATTGTGTTTGTAAGTAATCGTATTTGGGGATTTTGGGTTATTTTTAGGCATTTTAGAGTTTTATTGGATTATTGGGAATTTCAAATGTACGAGTTGAAAGATGACTTGTTTACATGTATTGTTCTATAAAACAAAAATAAAATTTCAAATTTGTCCTCTCACTTATAAAAAGTCTTACTTTAAGAACAACTTTATCCTTTCAACCATAACAAATTGCATCGACAAATCAACATTAGGGTTTGTCAATACGAATTATAAATCTTTTTAGCAAAGAAGATTACATAATATGCAAAGCAACATAAAAAACATTTTTTTAATAGGAATTGTAAATACTTTCAGCAAAGAACTATTTCCTTACAAAAAATGCTCTATTACACGTTGCCACCACACAAGGGTCAATATTTGCATTAATTTCCATATCCTTGAAATTATGCTGAAACAACCAAAAACAAGCGCTAAAAAAGTCAACATCTCATAACTACAAATTACCCAAAGTATTCCTATATCACTATTACCATCACATATGTCTTTCTTACATTGGCTATGAATTCTGGTGTACATACCCATAATACCCTTTCTTCAGCTACATTTCACTCTGCATTCAATGCTTTCTGAATATCTCCCTGCAACATCAACATTCAACAAACAAGTTAAGTTTAATAATGAACTCACTCCATTCCATGTGATGCATGATGCATGGAATAATATTGTTACCTGAATGGATAATGGTGAAGTAGTTGGCCCATAACGACCTATGACTCTGCCTTCTTTATCCACTAGAAACTTGGTGAAGTTCCATTTGATTCTTGACCCAAGAAATCCCCCTTTATTTGCTTTCAGAAACTTGTACACAGGTGCTGCTTTTGGTCCATTAACACGAATCTTCAACAAAGAAACAACTGATAATTAGTTCAAACTTCAAACTTTCAGTTTATTTATGTGAAACTGTATCATTTAGGGTTTCAAAAAACAAGCATTTTTTTTTTGTAAGGATGACTGAAAACTCGCCTTCTGGAAGATGGGATATGTGGCGTTAAACCTTGTGCATGCAAATTCTTCCAATTTCTCGCTAGAATCTGGCTCTTGTTTCAGGAACTGATTGCAAGGAAATGCCAAGATCTCCAGACCTGATCATATATATATATATATATATATATATATATATATATATATATATATATATATATATATATATAGTAACACATACTTTATATTTTCATTCTATTCTAGCTCACAAATTAATATTTTGTTGTTATGAACTTATGATATGAATACGAAACAATTTGTGACACTATCATTTGTTTGTTGAGATTGGAATCAGACCCCAATGAGAAATGATCAGACAAGATCCGTTGAGCTAGATAGATAGCCTACAATTGTGATCTATGATTATTATTTAGAGGGAATATAAGTGGATGTAGAATATAATATTGTATTAAGAAAATTGACTAATCAGATAAAAATATAAAATTAGGTATCTATTCTTTGAAGTTTGAAGTAATCAACTGATTGTCTGTTTATCTAATAGTATTGATTATTCACTTCACTTTAAACCTTAAAGCCTCGCATCCAAACAACGTTCTCTTCTGGTTGTGATAATCAATTTGAAGACAATGATACATCCAATCTTGTAAAGGGTACAAAAGCATACCTTTAGCTCTATACTTTTCGTAAAGCTCCGTCAATTTTGGGTAGTTTGAGTTTGTAAATCCACTGTTTCAATCCATACAAATTAGCCAACAGTTAGAACACGAAGAACACGCGCAAGCGATTGGAAAATATACAGAAATTTTAAGAGATCAAGGAGTGGTAGAGATAGAAAGTAGAATCAACCATTTAGAAGCAACATTAACAACAAGAACAACTTTCCCTTTGTAGATGCTAAGATCCACATCCTTCCCTTTGCTATCCTGAATCATTTGCTCAGAGGTTAAATCAAACAAACAAAACCCCATTTCAAATAAAATAATATCGATCTCTGTGTATGTTTGTGATTATGAATAAGAAAAATTGAAGACAACCTTGACTGTAAATTGATGAAACGAATGTTCAGGAACAGATGAAGCAGCACCCATTAGTGTTTAATCGAAGCTTTGGGTTTAGGAAGTTTTATGAGAGGAGGAGGAGGAGCACGACCACCAGCGCCGCCGTGAAATAGGGGAGGATGTTCCCTTTGGATTAAGTTAAATTAGATGGCATGAAATGGAATTGAACGAGAAGTTGTTGGAGTGCCAGCAAATGTCATCTGGTATTGATTGCATCAATTGACTTTGTTCGTTTGTGCCAATCAAAATATCAAATGCTTCGTCAATAAGTCTCTACTTCTTCCGCATTAAAAAATAAAAAGTTGTCGTCTTGTTTTTATTTTTGGTTATCGCCGTTCCCTATGTCCTCATTAGTCAATATTCACATGATGGACTTCACTCAAAAAAATATACTATATAAATCGCTACATAAACTATCTCATCGGAAAACGTTATACTTAAAAAAACAAAAAATAGCTTTCAATAAATTAAATGGGTTAAAGTAAATATTATTTTTGACTTTTCTCACTAATATAAACAATCCAACCTTTTTTACTTTCATCTCAACCGACACAAGTTTTCTCGTTCTTTGGTAATTTCCAACGATCATAATTTTTGAAAATTTTGACTGCTCAGTTTTCGTTGACTGTTTTATTAGCGCAAGAAGGTCTATATTTAAGCTACCTCTTGTGTTTGCTTTTCTAAATTCTACAAGGTTAAAGCTAAAGCTACGGCTTTTTAGAAATGTTCCAAAAGGCGACTTATTTTTCCAAAATCAAAGTTAATCTTTATCAACAAAAGAGAACTTTTTCATATCAGTTTTTTTTTTTTTTTTTTTTTTCCAAAAGTAGTAAAATGTAACAAGTTTATAACGAGATGTCACGACTCACGACTTAATATTAGATACTACAAATATACGTGTAAAACTGGCTAACATGTAATGAAAAAAGGAAATAAAAAATTGAAAGATCGTTTTATCTATTACTTCCGAAGCTATACTGCTATAAATCTACCAAGTCAATTTTATGGCAAGATCCAAAAGGGCCTCTACTTGGCGAATCACCTTTCCCTTTTCTTGTTCTTTTAATCTCTTTGCAACAGATTCTGGATCAAGAGCTTCAAGTGTTGATCCTCCTCCGGTTTTTTCCACAGGCCTAACTTCTTTAAGCAACGTGTCCACCTCGCGTATAAAATCTATACGTAACAGAAGATCATCTGCCTCCATTGCTGATCTAACCAGAGGACCATGGTGCTGATGCAATAAATAAATAATAAATAAAAAACCAAGAAACAAAATTAAAAGGAAACAAAGAAAACCCGTTTTGAACATTTACACAGCCAATATGGGCAAGTTATGTAACGAGTCAAAACGGGTCTGGTTGACCTGTATAACACTTTTTCACTTACGTAAATAATTAACATATGAAACTTTAGTTGTACCTTATCAAGATCAAATCCTGTGGGGACCAATAGACTGAAGGGATCTTCTCGTGGGAAGGTTTCGATCATGCGTTTTTTACATGCTTTAAGCCACCCTTCTTCATCATATCCATCATGTATCATTAAAAGATCATTCAGCAGTCTCATGGCTGGAGTAGCTTGCCTCTTCAAGATCTCTGTCTGAAATGAAACAAATAGAATCCTACTTTCAACATCTTTCTACTATAGCATTGAAATATATATACCCAATTATAGCATTGTACTTTGAAAATCTACTCATGAAAATTGTTTTGTATTAGATGAAATTGCTATAGCTGGATAGATTTTTCAAAGTACAATGCTATATTAGGAAGAAAGGGAATAAACAAACAAATGAAAGTAGGTTTGAAATAATAAGGTGACAAACTGAACAAAAAGCATACCTCAACACGCCTGTATAACAGATCTAGACTTCTTATCGCATCTTTTTCTTCCTGGAAAATTGCAAGAACGATTTTTTTTTTTCAAATAGTTTAAAAAAGTTTTAAACACAATTACAAAAAATGAAAGATATTGAAAATATACATCACGTCGAGCAAGATCAAGACGAGTCCAGATCACCAGAAGAACAAGTTCATTCAGTTCACCTTTCTCAGCAGCTTCCTCAATTTTCTGTCAACAAGAAAAATCATTACCTTTATAGTTTATACTTTATATTAACAACACATACCAATTTCCCCTGGTGTATGATTCAAATTTACAAACTTTTCATGATATGAACAAAAAAAAAAACGCGTACAAGTTTTTACCTATTTTAAGAAAACACCGGACTGTTAACAAATATGCAATCTCTATAATTTTTATCCATTTGACCTCTCATAAAAATTAAAAAATATCATTCAAATTGATCCATTTTCACATAAATGTCTAGTCACAATAATCACTTTGAAAACACACATTTTTAGATCATATATTCTTTTATATGAAGAAAACAGGGACAGTTAGGAGACATAAATCCTGAATTGATAGCAAACAATTACCTCTTCGATCTCTTCAGCAGATTTGATGAAACTGGAAACCAATTTCTTTGCCCTAAAAACATCTTCTTGAGGAAAATTCTTCAAGTGCATTCCAACTTCCCTATACTCATCAACTATTCTTTCCTCTTCTTCATCTTCCTCTTGGCGCAATCTTTCCAACTCTTTAGTCTTCTCTCGCTGACGTGCTTGCCATTCCTAAAACCACACACCAAAAATGACCATATTGCCCTTCCTTTTACTTCATAAACCCTAACATAACCTTAAACTAAAAGGGATGAAGATGAACCCCTGTTGCTATTTTGTTCCTGCTTATTGATTTCATGATTACATTTGTACGTCCAAATTCATTTTCTGGTATTCATTAATGGGGTGTTTGGATGTGCGAATAGAATACAGTGATTATTATGACTTTACGATAACAATGTGGCAAATTTCAAGAATTTTAACAGACATGATACCTTCTTGCTATAACCCCAGATAAATTTGTAAGAAATAGCCTTTTCATAACACTAAAAAACAAAAGAAAATGAAGAAATAAGTAGTAGGGTTTCGAATCAAGCACTTTGGTTTATTATATAACTGCACCCTTTAAAGATAAGCTTTGTTGGCGAATTTCACGAAATACCCTTTTCAAAAATGCTAAAAGGCGAAAGAAGAACATGATGAATCAAGTAGTAGAGTTCCAAAAGAAGCAATATGGCTGGTTATAAAACAGAACCCTTACATGTGGCGAATTTCAAGAATTAACAAACATGAAACCTTCTAGCTATAACCCCGGATAAGAAATGCAAAGAATACCTTTTCAGAAATGCTAAGAAGAACATCAAGTATCAAGTAGTAAAAGAAGCAATTTGGCTTACTTCATCATGGAATTCTTTAGGGAGGCCAGCTAAGACTTCATCTTCTAGCTTCTTGCTCCTACACAGAACTGGAAACAAAACCCTATTAACCAAAGGAAGATAGATGAGCACGAAAATGTTAAAAGATTATCGAGCGTCGAACAGAAATACTGACATGGGCGTTTGTTGGAAAGAGAAAGATTTAAAGAAGTAGGGAATGTCGACAAGGCTGTAATGGAGGTGGGAGGGAGGACCGATAGCCCGAAGACTCGTGCCTGCATATTTTCAGGGGTATTTAAACTGCTGATTACGAGTCTCCTTGTTTATGTACTCCCTCTCCATCCCTACCAACAAGAAAAACAAATAAATAAATAATTGAGTAAATTATTGAAATCATCCCTATGATTTGGTCAAAAGTACATGTTTGGTCCCTAACTTTTTTTAATTTCGATCGTTCTTATGGTTTAATTTTGTTGTGTTTTTCGTCCCTATGGTTTGGTTAAAATTGCACGTTTGGTCCCAACATTTATGTGTGTAAGAGACGAAAAACATAACAAAATCAAACCACATGGACGATCCGAGTGCAAAATAAAAATTAGGGACCAAACGTACAATGAACTTAAATTATTTATTTATAGAAATGAACTTACTCATGTTACATAACCTATTGACCCATGTTCAAATCCTGGCACCACTCAGCCTTTGTGGCCATGGAGGTTCGCTTGTAGTGACTCCAGGGCATGAAGCAAAGCCTCATGTTTGCAGCGGGGATTAGTCGGTGCGCGAAAGCTGGCTCGGAAACCCTCGTTAGGGAAGTTCCATTTCCAATATATATATATATATATATATATATATATATATATATATATATATATATTCAATTATGCAATGTTGATTGTCTTCAAGACTTCAACCATATGTTATGTTCGATTGATTATGAATAAAACGCTCATGAAATTATTTACCGACCGGATCATAGTTTGCCTTCAGTTATAAGTTATGTTTCATTAATTAAATTAGTCATAAACTTGAATTTGAATTTGAATTTACTTTTTTTTTTTGCTTTACATCTTGGGTCAAGTGTGTAACCATATAAGCCAATATAATTAATTATGTCACCAACATGTTACGTTAGTGTGCATATCTCCACATGCTCTCACTTGCACACATCACAACATCTCCATGGTCGTACTTACAACATTACATAGGTTATGTCTTCGTGACAACTGCTAAGATATTCTAAACCCTTGGGCTTGATCTATCCCTAGATAAATAACCATATATCATTTGTTCTAGATATCTCAGTGAACGTAAAACATGAAATTTCCGTCTATCTCTTACGTTCAAGATTCTATTTCTCAATATAATTTTGTGGTGACTCAAGAACACACTGCATGATTGAATGTCAATCATATTTGAGTGTAGCTACGTACTTATTGTTAGCTCGCAATCAATGAGGGGACCTGTGATGTGATATCAATATTATAAGTGGTCAGAATGAAAAATTCAACTTTGACTACATACACCCTTACTTCTTAAATTATGTCATACTTGAAGGGTACTCTGTATAGCTACCACCGGTTGCAGTTACATAGACAATATTGGAGGACGTCAAGACATAAGATGCTAAAGTCAAGTCCTATGTATCTTCGTTTCAAGGATATAAAATATTATCATCTTAGAATTACTTGTGAATAATATTCTATAAAGGGATACTTTAAGTACGGCTTAGAGCATCTCCATCGGCTCTTTCAAACCCATTGCAAAGAAAATTTGAAAGCCACATCAGCAATCATCTTTCAACTTTAGAAAGACTTGCAAAGGTGCCAACTCATCATTATATCAATTCTTGATTTTCTTTATTTTATTTCTTTAGTGATTAATAATAAATAGAAATTAAACATATACTTTAGTTTTTCAAGGATTGAATATTAATTTGTGTTGGTTACGTTCGCTTCTTTCCTAACCTATACAAAAATATGTATAATAATTATTTTTTATTTAAGCTGAAACTTATTATATTTATATTTACTACATAAGAAAACATATAAAAATTATTTTTTATTGAATTAAATTTTAATTGATTTTATATTATACAAGAAACTTATGCATGTACGTTTTATATATATATATATATATATATATATATATATATATATATATATATATATATATATATAAAGTAATTGTTGATGTGGCAGTGGGGACCACTTTTGAAAGATGAGCGTTATTGCACTGATGTGAGTAGTCATTGCAAAACTGATGTGGCGCAATTGAAAGATTAGTGGCATTGCACTGATGTGGATGGTCTTACTCCCGTACTCATAGGCGGATCTAGGTGGTTCCTGGGGTAGCCCAACATGCCCCTCAAAAATACTTCAATAGTGTACTTTTTTTCGATTTTTTTTTTCAGTAGTGTGATTTTTTTAGAAATTTTTTGGGAATACCCCTTTACTTTGATCATGGCTCTGCCATTGTCTGTAGTTCACAAAATATCAAGTACATGTTGATGCTAGTTGCATCACTATGTCATATCCCTGACTATGGATAATCTATTAACACCCCACAAGAGTCTTAATTCATTACTTTTTTTCTTAAAGTATGATCGACTGTGAAGATTCTGAAATTTTTAATTCAAGAAGTTATAAAATATGATAATTAAGATGGATCAATGATAATAATTGCTCCCTAGCATATATTAAGATCATCACTTAATGATCCTTACATCATCAAAATGGGTGTACAAGGTAAAATCATGAAGGATCTCACTCACAACAGACCAACAACGAGGCGGGTAAAAACAACAATGTATCAGAGACAAAAAAAAAATCAAAGCATCAAGGAATTTGCCACCCTCAATTGAACAGCCGGTGATCGTTCCCACACCAGGTTCCTCCATGATACATTAAATTTATCAATTTGTTTCTTATGATAAATTCTCAAAATCCCATTGTGCCATCTTAGTGGCCATCATGTCCCACGATGAACCGAAGACCTTTTTACAAGCAGCTATCGATCCTAATTAATGTGAAGCTGTGAGCAAAGAGATTCGAGCGATTGAAGACAATGAGACTTTGATCTTAAGGAACTTCACAGAAAAAATAAAAATATACTCAAAACGGTTTTACAAGGTAAAATACAACATATGGAGAAGTCAAAACGGTTTTACAAGGTAAAATACAACGTATGGAGAAGTCAAACGATACAAACCCCCTTTGGTAGCCAAATGGTATAATAGACAAACTGAGGGAATTGATTTATATGAGACTTTTGCACGTGTGACAAAGTTGGTAATAGTTTTGTGTGCATTGGCGATCGCTTCCAAAAGACGGTGGATTTAAAGCTCCGGTTGGAAATGGATTTAAACAATCCAAAGCACGTCATTCCATGCTTGTTTTTTCAAAAGGATCTTATTAAACCATTTAAATGTCAAGTAAAAAATCAATATTTATGTACTTATGGTCAAATTAACATATATTCCAAGTTATTCAAGCCTTCAAATCGAGCTCATTTTTTCTTTGAGTACTCATCAACCTACAAAATCAAGTTTGAGCCAACTTGGTTCGTCTTGTTTGCATCATTGCTTGCAACTTTTAGATGGTGGCCATATAAAAGTTTAACTGATGATCAAAAATATCACATATCTATTAATATGTAAGAAGTTAAACAAAAATGTATATTAAAAGAAAATAAGTATCAAGTATGTACAAAAATGGATCCTACAATGTGAGTTATTACACCGAAGATTCTACGATAAAATCCACAGCCGCACCCATCGCATGGACCCCACCAATCCCGAGCAACGCCAACGCCAACTCTTCCTCATCCCACTTCCTTAGCCCTTTACTCAAACTCCTCAAAACATCCACATCGACCTCACGAGTCCATTTAGGCGTACACGAAACCATCAAACTCACAAAACCAGAAACATAGGCCCTCCATGTCGCTTTATTACAGCCAAGTGAAATCTTCCCGTCGAGTGCACTCGCCATGAACTCCAAGTGGGCCCCAAGGATGGACCCACGTTTACTAGACGCCGAAGACACCGAGTCAACACCCCACGCAAACGCACCCGAAAGAATCATGAAGTAAGCAAGAGCGTAACCTTTAAGCATACCAATCATCCCGCCTGCACCTGAGTCACCCTTGGTGTGGTCCAATCGGTGCACCGATATGAACCACGATGGCATTGTTTCTTTGATCAAAGTTTGTATAAGGTTCAACCCACCGGTTATCCAAACCAGCGAGGCTCCTAGAGACGCGGCTAGCTTGATACGAGTCATGGTTGCGGAAAGAGAAGCCTCGCCATATCTCAAGATCATTCCGGTTTTAGGGTTTTTAAGTTTTTCAATCGGGACACCGGTGGACACGATGTCTTTAACCGAATGCATTAAAAGAGAGACGATTTCTTCAGTCATGAACATGACGTCTCGAACACTACGGTGCACCCGTAAGTATAGTATTCCGGGGGCCACCGGAGCGATCCCGCCGGAAAAGTCGGATCCAAATCCGTGACCGAGGAGGTTACCGATTCCACCACCGGTGTTTGAGGAGTTTAGACCGAGGGTGGATGCGAAGCAGACTTTAAGAAGCTCTACTACAGCGTCAGTGTTGTGGTGGAATACGGTTTGGGATGCTGAGAAAACAAGATAATCGGTCCAACGTTTGGCTTTTTGAGTCCACAGAGCGGCTATGATGGCCATGCATGGCCATGGACAACCTGCACCGAGTGTGTTCAATGCCGGGCCCGCTAGGTTCAGTACGGATTCGGAGATTCTATCGACTTTGTAGGTTATTGTGAGGCTCACTAGGGCGGCCAGAGGTAAAGGAAGGGTATCCGGACATGTCCCCCCTGCTACACAATTGAAAGATATAAAAATTCTACACGAAGGGTATAATGGTAAAATGGTTAGCTAATAGCTATAACTAAAACATACCTACAGAAAGACTTGGAACGTCAACTCCGGTTGCAGCTAATATCTTATTTATGTTTTGTTCGACCATGGATAAGTTAGTGGCGGGACTTGGCCAATCGGTTCCGTTCATAGATGCAGGTTTCCAGAGTCCCCTTGTGGTTTCAGCCGAAAGGTAACTCACAATAGTTGCCATAGAAGCAGGAAAAAAGTCAGCAAGATCTTTGAACCCTGAGGCGAACGGAATTATCAATATCAAATTTATATTACAAAAGACGTAAATGACCTCATCATGGAAACTAAGTAACTAACCGGTGGTGAGTTCCCGTGGAGAGAGTGTTCCATGGGCGCATGCAGTCAGTGCAGCGTCGAGCACAAAAGGGATAGCTTCTAGAATGTCCCAAGCAGGGAGTTTAAGACGA